TCGAACTCATGCATGCCTTGGCAAAAAAAAAATCGAGAAAATTGGATCTCTGCTGGCAGTATCGGAAAGGAAAGCTTAAAACAGTCCTGTGAAGACAACGCCCGAGGTGTAAAATTTCTGTTCCATGCAGGCATATTCCAGTTGATGTTTTCGGCACTGGATCGAGAGGCACGCCATTCAAGCGGTCCGGATACCCGACAGACAATTCTCTTCTAATTTGATACATACGTCTACGCCGACAGCTGTGTGGATAGTCTTCACCTATATTGTCCATCATTAAAGCCGGATTCTGAATTCTCCTGAATTAGACTCTCACTACTTGTCTTTGCAAAACTAGCCACTGATTCACCTTTGCAATTAGCGGTATCTTTCGAATACTAGATTAGTCAACTGGAAACTACAACTTTAACGCCGATCAGAAATCTGTTGGTTTACAGCCTGACAAAAGGAATGACTTAATGACACGTTTTCGACGAACGGTTGACACCATGAACAACAGTTCTTTGCCATCTGATTCACCAACAACAGACTACAGACTGTTCCTTTACACCCAGCTAGCTACTGGCATCTGTCTGGCGATTCTATCACCTATAACAATCACAAGTAATGTGTTGCTACTATTTACTCTGTTTAAAGATCCTCTCAAATGCTTCCGTGCACCAGCTACGTATTTCATCGTCGCTTTAGCCTTGGTTGATTTAACAACGGGCCTGCTTGTTGAGCCTTTCTTTATAATGCACCGTGTGGCAACGTATGTAAAAGGGTCCCCTGCTCCATGCGAGCCATACAACACCTTATACCAAATCGGAGTTTGGTTGTCTTACGTGGGCCTCAACGCGTCCTTTCTGCTTGTTCTTGGTCTCATTTTAACGCAGTACGTCGCCATAACATACCCGCACCACTATCGCTCAGAAGTGACAACCCGCAGGGTCCTCGCTTGTGTTGGGTTCTCGTTGGTGTACTTTACCGGTTTCATTCTGTTGCAGTTCGTTGTTGTCCCCAAAGAAACCTTGTTTCAAGTAGATTTGCATCTTCACTCGACACTGATAACGGTTTTGTTAATCCTCAGTTCCGCGATACTTTTGAGATCACTTCGCCATTTTGCCACAGAATCTCGACGGCTTGTAGGGGAAAGTGGCGTTGAGACTGGAGTGCATGGGAGACACACAGGCAAACCTCGAACGAACAGAATTAGCGAGAAACAGTTTACAATTGTTACCTTACTTTTATCAGGAGTTTTCATCGTGTGTTCTCTTCCCCACATCATTACAGTCCATATGAGATTTTACAAGAAGCAGCACACTCTACAAGAGAGGCTTGACCTTTCTGCTGCGATCACTATTGCGGACGAAATGATGTTCGTGAAGGTGGCATTAGATGCGTTCATCTACGCGTGGAGACTGACAAAATACCGCAAGTCGTTAAAACTTGTGCTGACTTGCCGCAGGAATCAAGTCTTACCCGAAACTACTGAAGTAATGACGATGGAGAATTTCACTTTTCAACAGTACAATCCCGAACTCTCGTCAAATCATCAAGACCGTCCCAAAATCAACCTCCACGACCAACTGTAGTGAACCTAGCTCGTATTTGGCTATGACAATAAATTTTTAGTGAAATCCCATTGAAACATATATAAACAGCCATGAAGATTGTGAGAATATTTATCCCAGGTATGGAGTTTAAAAACCGAAGTTGTCGCGACACTTCCAGAGATATGAAGTTCTTTGTGAATTATACAAGAGAACCAAACTGTTCCTTACTGGTCCTAGTCGAGCGGCCTCGGGTGTGGAATCAGTTACAAACTTCTTCACCCAATTTAAACAATAGAAAACTTCGATTCTTACCGGTAGCAGAATGTAGTACTACGACCCCAAACAAGTAGGGTGCTCTCTTCCGAAATAATTTTAGGGCGATGGTGCAAAATAAGAGCTTTTTTATTATATCGTTGAAAAGCATGCTACTAACATTCTTGACTCAACACATGCCTTTCTTAAACTGATAATATTCCTAACTTGATTAAGCTCGAGCACTGTGTGTCGTTCTGTCTTAACCTGACGGTTTGGTTTTCCCGGACATAAAGCTAATTCATCGTCAATGCAGGACGAACCGGTGCGAATAAAGTACTTCTCGGCCCATAATTACGGCTTTGTGGAAGCGGTCGACTTATACCTTCTTTCGCTTGATATTTATTTGCCCATGCATTAAGTTTTCTGGCCGCATGAAGTGTTTGAACAGCATTGGCAGGTGTGCATGTTGAAATAAAGACAGACGATAAAAGTTTTGTCGAATGTTGCTTAAGAACAAAAGTCTCTAAACATATAAATCGCAAAAAAAAAAAAAAAAAAATACATACTGAGAAAGAATAGGGAGGAGAGTTACTGAAGGCTCGTATCGTGGGTTAGGGGCCACCTGCACGTATCTCTCGTAGCACATATCAAATAGTTGTCTATCCCAGGCGTACCGCTACCGCGTATCACAGTTTGATTACAACTCTGTAATCATAAGGTTCGAGATTTTGCCTTGGCTTTCCGGGCCCGAAAAGTTTCCGGGGCTTTCGAGAAACGGGCCCCAGGGCGTGTAACAAGACAGTGACAATATGATAAGATGCTTCATGCATAGCCTGAGTAGTAACCGAAGTTGCAGTCCAGTACCGATGAGCTTTCCCCAGGATTGAAACGGACTTAATTTTAACGAATGGAAATTAACATTTGATTCATGCCCAGGCGGTGTTGTTATGTCGTCTCACCCGGAGCAATGGCGGACACATTTTTCGTTGCGAATGGAGAGTAGGTCGTCGTTTCTCGACCGATTTCTGCACTCATCATGAGAATCAAACGAACCTTTTCTAGGAGCTGCTAGTGTAATATCTAGACCAGTTATTTGCCAAGCCTCAAGTGCAGGTAAGCAATTTTTGCATTAGAACTAGTCAATGGAAATCATGCTATGTTGAAAACGTTTGTTTGCCACACGCGCTTGACGTGGATATTCTTTTGGCCGTTTGCTGGGTAACAGAGATCAATATTGTGAATTTTTTTTACGTGAAGCTTTAGTTCGAGAGTTGAACTTTAAGAAAAGTCCGGCGGGCCCAGGGCCCCGCCGTTTTAACGGTCAAAATCGGACTTGAAGCTGGGGCATTTTCCTTGATTTGTCAGATGTTCGCGGTATTTCGCGGGAGTGATTGTGTGATTTCTACCCTTGTTATTTTGTGGCTCAGCTTGTTCCCTTTACATCTTAATGTTTTCTTGTTATGGTTTTTTTTTGTTTTTTTTTTGTAGTGCGTATGTCATCCGTTTGTTTGGCCTATGTTCAAGATCTTTGGATCCTGCTTTAGATGCTAATCCATTAAAGATATCATCTCATTTACCGTGAATTTTCACTATCATGATCACTGCCTGTCTTGAATTGTTATCTCTAACAGAAATTTACTACTCTTGAATCGGATGTTATTGTTCAGTCGTCTATGGCTGATTATTTTTGATCTCCCACTTCTTTATGCTTGTTTTCC